AGAACACTTCTGCTATAGGTTATGAAGCAGCACGAGGTTATGAGGTGGCGTGATTGTGGTGGATAGTACAGGATAGGATAACCAAAAATGTATTATCTAAATACCTAATAAAATCTGCCTTCTCGCAATATTGCAAAGGTAAAAAAAAAAAAAAAAAAAAAAAAAAAAAAAGAAAATAAAGATGCTAAGTCTATATATAATGCAATAATTAAACCTTTTATTGCGAAAAGTAAATTAAAGTTTATTACATATAATATATTTTATTATTTAATAAAATTAAATCAAATTTATTTATTTAAATAAAAATAGATCATAAAATTTTTTCATTTACATCAGATGGCGCAAGTGTAATGCAAGGAAACATTTCTGGAGTTGCAACACGAATGATTAAAATAAATCCATATATTTATTCTACACATTGCATTGCTCATAGATTATCATTAGCATGCGAATCTGCAGAAAAACAAATTGAATTCTGCATTTATGCTAAATCAGTATTGAAAAAAATTCATACTTTTTTTAGCAAGTCAAGCAAACGGATTCAAACATTATTTACATATCAAGAAACTCTTAATAAGCCTTTATTGAAAATTCCAAAAATTTTTGATGTTCGATGGCTTTCTTTATATGAGGCTGTTAATAATATTTGTATTTCAATTGAACCCTTACTTGATACACTTTTTCATACTATGAATGAATCAAAAAATCAAAATATGCAAGCTTCAATTTTTGATTTATATTCAGATCTTTGTAATTGGCAAACTCTGGCTTTTTTTTTTTTTCTTCAAGATATTCTTACTGAGCTTGCAATGTTATCTAAATTTTTTCAAACCCGATTTCTTTATTTTTATGACATATATCCTAAAATTCAAACAACTATTACAAAATTAGAAAATAACTATTTAGATATTGATAATAATTGTTTTGAATTAAGTACTAACCTTAACAAATTTTTTATTTCTACTCCTCCTAAGAAAGGTACAATGATAGGTTCGCATATACTTATTTGAACATCAAGCCAAGAAAGTAATTTAATAGCAGATATAGTAAGCTTTACATCTGCATTAATTTTAGAGATTCAAAAACATTTCCAAAATAATCCTTTTGTTAATGCTATGAAAATCTTCAAATTATCGGATGGGTTACTAAATAATCAAAATATAATAGAATTTGGTAACACAGAATTAGAATTATTACTTGATTTTTATGAAAAACCTCAATTTCCTTTGTTTCCCCAAGCAATAGTCAATTCTAATGATACACGGATAGAATGGTTTTATTTTAAAAAGTTAATTTATGAGAATTATTTCAATTTATCTATAGAAGAATTACTTAGCTTAATATTTCAACATCATATTAATTCATATCCCAATATTAGTAAATTATTAGCGATAGTATATACTATTTCCTTCTCAAGTGTGGAATGTAAGCGGGGTTTCTCTAAGCAAAATTTAATCAAGACAAGATTGCGTAATGCTCTAAATAATGAAACATTACATATGCTGATAATGGTTGGATTAGAAAAAACTGATGTAACAAAATTTAATTTTAGCGATGCATTAGATATTTGGTACAATAGTAAAGTAAGAAAACTAAATATTAAGTATTAATTATTAAGAGCGAATTACTAATAAGTTTAAATATTATACTAATACAGAAATAAGTAGTGCTTTTTAAATATGAGTGTTGCCAAGGGAAAATGATACTTCGGTTTGTATTGATTATTTATCTAATTCAGTTTTGATACATCAGGCTTTAAATTATATAACGTTTTGAACTTAGTCTCTAAAAAATATACTGTATCATAGTTATGTCGCTAATCATACTTTTCAGAGACCAAGTCCATAAATTCATATAATTTTAAAGCCTGATGTATCAGGGCTGAATTAGATAAATAATCAATAAAAACCGAAGTATTGACAACACTCATATTATGATACTAAATACTAACCTTGAATTATCTAACATTACTAATTTTTCTCTTTTTTTTACTATTAAAGTTATCCGATAACAAGATATAACTTACTCGCAAAAATTATATTATGCAAATAACATATAAATCTTGAAAATTATTATATTTAAAAGATATGTATATTACGACTTTTTACTAGTGGCAGTTAAAGATAAGGTAATAATCATATAACGAAGTGTATTTTATTATATATATATAACGATAAATATATAAACGAAACATATTTTATTTTATATAGATATACATAAATATTTCTATTAATGCAGTAATTATATCGTATGCATAATAAATTATTTTTAACCAATAAAACATGAATATACCGTGAATCAAGAACGACACTATTGCATGTCCGGAATTTACTATATGTCGTTTTAGCCCTGCTTTTAACACAAAGGCATGTCTCCTAAAAGTATCAGATGGTCAATTCGTCATGGTGAGGCACACCAATTAAAACCAATAATTTTTACAATAGCTAATAGCGATAGAAGCAAGAAAATGATTTGGTTTTGTACAAGATGCAGGGATAAAAAAGATGATATAATCGAACTATATAATCGTGCTAAATGCGTAAAAGTAATTTAAGTTACATTATTGTGCTATCTTTTAGAAAGGAAACAAATTCCTTATCATTATATAAAAACCAGTAGTTTGATATTTTGATTCAAATTATTGAATTTTTTAAATTACAAAGTTTGTAAATTTTTAAATTGATGTGATTGGTTCTGTTCATTCAAACATTTAGACTTGATTCAAAAAAGTTCGTTATGGAGTTCCGAAAATTGTAGTCTATATTTATAGTTTCCGTGTACTGTTGCATAATATATGATCGCTATATCATTATAAAAAAATCAAATTACAAATGGAGGACAGATTTGATTTTAAACTAATGTAAATATATTAAAACATTTAATTAATTAATTAATTAATAAGGATAATAAAAAATAAGGATTTTCCATTTGTTTGTTTATCTACGCACCTATTTTTTTTATAGGGATGGTTTATTCCGGGTTTCGATGAATGTGGTTCCAGTAAAATCACAATAAATTATTCCAATAGAAACGTGACAAATGAATTTGACTGCTTATTGGTTTTAATTGAGAATTATTACTGGCTCATTATACTATACATTAAATGTGTAACATGAGCTTATTGAATGTTGATGTAGACTAATTTATGTGTTATCCTATAATATTTGTTCTGGAAATACACATAATATAAATATTGTAACAAAAAAGTAGCGGTTTTTCGTTCTCGCTTATGACATTATAAAAAAAAAACAAAAAAACAAAAAAAAACAGATCTGTTAATTTTATCTCTCATACACGCCGTTAATGAATAATATTAATCATTCTTTTACCTGAAACCTTATAACTTTAGTTTGATAAAAACTAAATTATACGCTAACAAGTATTTTTATTCATAATTTTCATAATTCACATAATTGAGTTTTGAAAACTTGTAAAAAAAAAGAAAAAAAAAATTTTACTTCGATATTCGCGGGTCGAATCGGGAGTTTTAAAATTTATGCTCACGAATCTTACCAAATCTTCTGATTAAATCTTCTGATTAAAGATTTTAATTTAACTAAACACTATTTAAATCAACGAAAAAAAATAACCCGATCTTTATTAGCAAATATGAAACACCAAATGAGAAATGCAAACTTTCCAAAAACAGATGATGGTCGAGTTTATCATATTGGCTTGAAACGTGGAGAAGGTAACTAATAATATCACTTTTTAATATCACTTTATTATTATCATTTTCTTGTTTTTTTTTTATTTATTTTATTTTAACATTATTTTCTTCCAAATCTTCCAAAAGTCGCAAATAGAATATTAGTCGTAGAAGATCCTGACAGTGCAAGAAAAATGGCAGAACTCTTAGATCGAACTCCAAAACCCTTTATTTTCGAATCTAATAAAGGTTTCATTACAATTACTGGTCGATATAAGAAAGTTTCTGTTAGCATTGTTTCTATCGTTATGGTATGATTCATTATCTTTCATTATATGTTTCTTAGAATTCTTGTCTTAAATCTTAACTTTAATATTAATTTTAAGGGTTATGTGATAATGGACTTTTTTATTCGTGAAGTCCGTCAAATAATAACAGGAGAAATAATAATAATCCGTTTTGGCTCCTGTGGTTCAATAGGCACTCCTACGATAGGTAACATACTCGTACCATATGGTGCGTTCTCGGTGACCAGAAATTACGACTATTTCATACATGGCGTTGATACAAATGATGCAATGCCAATAGTCGATTCTCCTTATTATATCTCTAAAATTGCTTATGCTGATGAGGAATTGAGCTATTTGGTATGTATTTAATATCATTTATTATTATTAAAAATTTAATATCATTTATTATTATTAAAAATTTAATATCATTTATTATTATTTAAATATTTAATATCATTTATTATTATTAAATATTTAATATCATTTATTATTAAAAATTTAATATCATTTATTATTATTATTAAAAATTTAATATCATTTATTATTATTAAAAATTTAATATCATTTACTATTTATTTATTATTAGTTGCAATCCGAATTATCTGCTGCCTTTTATCCATCCCTAATATATACTTGTTTAAGCGCATGTTCCGACTCTTTCTATTCATCTCAAGGTCGAATCGATCCTTATTTCTTAGATGATAATCAAGACCTAATACCGTCAATTTTCGAAAAGTATGATGATGCTCACATTGTGGATATGCAATCTTTTATGTTATTTCATTTGGCAAATACGTGTCGTTACACTTCTCATTCAAGAATTCATGAAAAACCACGTAATATTCGTCATAGTATAATAAATACTAAAAATGGTAAAGACGGTACCGGTGCTTTATATAATTCCGGGTTAAATAACTCCCAATCTTCTCTTCTCAAATATTCGACTGCTCGAAGTAATTATAGTGATACTCATGATAATCATAATCATCCTTATAAATTGGCTTCAAATTCTTCTTCAACTCATTCTCTTCCTCTCAGATCGACAAAACCCACTCTTTATTACCAAAATAAAAATTCTTCCGTAGCTAATTTCGTAAAACCAACTTCTCAAATATTTGGTAATGAAGAAAATGATTTCATTAATGGTGCTAAATCCCGTATTAAAGTTACTACCACTACTACCACTACCACCACTACCACCTCCTCCTCCCCCAATCAATCCGGAATCAATGATAATTGGTCTATTAACATTAATAACCAAAATAAATATACTAATAATCTTAATCCGAAATCAAAAAACAAAACTGGCATTAAAACTTCCACTGCCATGATAGTATTTTGTGATAGATCTACAAACAATTTTATATCTCCTGACCTCTTTAATTACCTAGAACCAATATGTGGTGAAGCTATATTTAATACTTTGATTAAAGTAGAAGTGGAGAATGAGATGAATGGTGAAGAATGTGTTTGGCACGCTTCCTGTGAAAAAGAAAGATTTGGTTTTGGAAGAATTAGAAGTAGTGATAAAAATGGTAAAAAGAATGGAAGGTTTAGCAATTTTGGTAACTTGGGTAACCTGAATAACTTGGGTGGTGGAAGATTTAGTAATTCGTCCAACAATTCTAGAAAAAGTGTAGAAATAAAATATAATGATATAAGATGTAGTAAAGAAAATTTATATTACGATGTTAAAAATGGTTGTCGGAATCCGAATGTTTACAACAACAATCATAATGAAAAAGTTGATGATAGAAATAAGGGTAAAATTGCTAGAGCTGTTACTAGAATGTTGAGTAAAAAAAGAAAGAAAAAGGATTCGTCTGATGCATGAGGGTTAATTTTTTTTTTGTAGATATAAAATTTAAAATAATTTGGACTATTTTTTGATTTCTAATTGTTACATCGTTTTATCGATTTTTTTTTTTTTTTTTTTTTTTTTTTTTTAACGATATTTTTTTAATTTCATTACCTTGTGAATAAATAATAAATATAAACGTTTTAAATCTATTACCGGATCATATCGCAAATTAGCACCCTCATAAGACATACATCCGGTTAAATATCAATAACCCATTTTTAACGCTAAACTGAAGAATAACTTAGTTCTGAAATAAAATCTATTTAATACGAAACCTATTTCCAGATTACTTTTTTTCTCACGTGAGCACTATTAAAGATCTTATTCATAATGGGTGCTTATTTCACGAGAGGATATGGTTGACTGTATACTTTTACAGTATTAATTCCGTTTTAAACAATATAACACATACATACATACCCACACACACACATATATATATATAACACTTCGGATTTGAAATTCTTAAATAAGATATCACTAAGATCACCATTGTAGTAAGGGTAAACGTAATAGATAGATATAGGCATATACGTTTGATCGAAAAATAATACTGAAACATAATTAGGTAATCCTGCTATATAAATTTTCATAATAAATTAGTTTGTATTACTATTAATTAAGATATTAACTAAACGGATGCGATAAACTTATAAACTTATAAATTTATAAATTTATAAATTTATAAATTATAAATTATAAATTGTTCATACATTCTTTTCAGTCAGCCAGCCAGCTCTATTATTTTATATCATAATGTCCCGGAAAGAAACTGTCACTCCCTCAGTACCATTGTCTCCAACACCTCAAATCATTCCGATTAATGAGATTAATGAGGTAACATCATCTGCTTCAATTCATGCTCATGCTGTAAACATTCCACATACCTTGGACGACGATACCATTCATTCGTCATTAGAATTTTTAAAAACGTCCGGTATTCAACGACACATAGAAACTAATATTCGTAAACTTGATAAATCCACGCCAAAACAACGAGAACTTGAAGAAAAACGTATTACAATCAGAATACAAAGGATAGACATTTTAATAGTCTGTTTAACATTCTACACTGCTCTCATGATGCAATGGCTTACATTACTAGGTCTTTCAACATCCTTTTCCGATTTCTTATTCCAATTATTTATTAAATCTTTTGATGTCACACAATGGAATTTTAAAGAAATTCAAACCATTGGAAAAATTTCAGGGGTTGCTACAAGTTTACAACTAATTTTTTCCATCATATCAAATTTTATAATGATTTTATACAAAATATTTTATCACGCAAAAAATATACCTTTAATTTTTAGTGGACCAATTTATTTTGGTGGTTTATTTCGTTTCTTCAACATATTTCGTCCTAAAATTCTTGATCATCAATTATCTGTCAAAAACATTGATGCTAAATTTCATCAATATTTGGGTATATTAAGTAATGGGTTAATTATAATTACTGCAATAATAATTGCTTGTAATAAATTAACTATGATTGATAATATCACTGGTGATGATGTAAATACGTTATTATCAGGATTAATTGATCAATCAAAAATTTTATCCCGGGATGTGGATGTTAATCAAACTATTATTCAATCTCAGAACGCGACCCAAGTAGCATTATCGATTAAACATGCTGCAATATTTACAAAAACTACTTTGGTGGTATCTATACTTGCTATTATCATGACTTCTCTTTTAAATATTATTAATTGGATAAGAGAAATTTGGCAAGCTAATCATGATAATGTTATTATTTACGAAATGTTTAAATGGATTACAAGATTAATGGTTTGTAGTCCTTGTGGAAATAAATCTGATGGGCGTGATATGTCTGATGAAGAATTTAATATGGTGAATGCAAAACTTGATGATAAAATTGCTAAATATAATCGTACTAACATAAGAAATAATCGAGGGTTTCATTAAATACTGTTATGCTAAGAATTATATTTATTTTATTTGTAAAAAATTTCTTCTTAGTCCATTTCCCATTTTATAATAATTATACACCTGAAAATTTATTTAATAAAATTTTTTTGTAAGGAGTATAGTTTTTTCAATCCAGAATTATAATTAATTCGAAAAGTTGACAAACAGTATGAAGATAATAAATGTTAGTTATACGTGTTGTATAAACCTATATACTGTACTAAAATTATACATTATGTAAATAAATCTTTAAAAAAAAATAACGTATAATTTAAACTTAATAAACTATACATGATGTATACTGTATTAGGTATACGTACGATACTTATCTGACAAGTTATACTGTACTATCTGGTATATAATATGAGTGTCGCTAAAAGAAAACCCGAAAATTTAAATATGACTTAATCTCTACTATCTCGGGTCTTGCCTATGGTTTACGGTTCTTTAATCTATATTGGCTAAACAACAAAAGCATAATTAATTTAGGCATCAAGCTTCTGTCTTCTTTAGATAGTGCTAATACTTTCCCAAATTTAAATTTGCTACGCATAAGCTTTTATTTTATTTTATTATTATTATTTTTTTTGCCATACCAATATATTTGGTTTACATATATGTACTAGATATATACATACTACTTTTTATTACATTATATTGTTTCCTTATCTTTGGTATATTACTTTATAAAATAATTTTTAACAATAATTTTTACATTACAATTATCTTGTATTTTTATTATTAATCAAAAACCTTTGCTTTATTTTTAATTTGAAAAAATAAGTAAAAATACAGTATAAAGTATAATCTTATACATATAAAATCAAAAAATAACAAAATCAAATAAGTTTATGCCTTTAATAATGAATCAGAATATAATAAATATAATAATTTTTTGTTGGCTATAGTGACAGTATCTATTCGATGACTTAATTGCCAATAAATTTCACATTAAAAGGATTTTGAAATTTACTTTGCGTCAAATTTTAAATTCGCGCTGATACTAAAATTCGGGTCTTGGTACCCGTTTACTTACTAGAAACATGTTCAAAATTAGTTAGTTTAATAGATTCTACTTAGAGGCTACGAATACACTGTGACTCTTGATAAAGTAGATTAATAATATAGAAAGACGAATTGAGATATAGATAAAGTCTGATAAACCTGCTTTATCAAGAGTCACCAAGTACATTAAAATATGATTTTTTAAGACTGTTTCGAAAGATTATATACTTACTTGGATCTGCCGATTTATTTATCGGTTTAGGAAGCCTTGGAAAGTTCAAGAGCCGACTTGTAAAAATGGCTTGTTTGTGTGTCTGAAAGTTGAGTCGTGCCGACTTGACTTGATTATATGTTGAAGAATTTTTACTCGTGTCCTTAATTTCTTTAACTTGTTTATATAATTCTGTTTCCTCATTCTTCAAATCAGAATGAAATTGGTCCAGCTTATCTACTAATTCTTTAGCAGTTGGTCGGTTTTGAGGTTCGGCATCTAAACATTTATTCATCAAATCTAAAAGCAATTTCGGAACTTCACATCTTATTTCGGGTCTATGTCCTAGACAAATTTTAATTGCGAGGTCACTTTCATGTGGAATATCATGATATGGCGGATATCCAGTAAGAACTTCTGACATAATTATTCCAAAAGAATAAATATCTGACTTTTGAGTGTATTCCTTTCCATCTGTATATAATACTTCTGGAGCAATATAAGGAAGCACACCAAAAAGCTTTTCAGAATTTGAATCTTCAGAAACAGGTCGACATAAGCCAAAATCGGTAATATAAGAACTAAATATATCCTGATTAACTATATTTCCGGAATGAAAATCTTTATGCACTAAATTGGATTTATGAATTATACGAAGCCCATCAGCTATGTGAAATAAGTTAAGTATCTTAGAAATCCAGTCCAAGTCGTTATGTTTACTATTTAATAATTTTCGAAGACTTCCTTGCTTTGCATACTCCATAACCATCATATAATTATCATCTTTTTGGTTCTTAGTTATTCCATAAATTGCAATTGCTGAATAGCTACCATGTTTATGTTGACTTTCAACCTAAAATTTAATCATGATAAATAAATTACTGTACTATACTTTAATAATAATAATAATTTACATAATGCTTACTTCTTTTAAAAATTCTTGATTTATATTTTTAGAATTATCAAGACTTTTTAAACAAACTTCTATTTGCGGCTTTCTAATCCATTCATTCTTATTTGTATTGATTCCTTTAATAAACCCGTCAATCCATATTGCCTTAAAAACAGTGCCAAAGCCCCCTTTAGCAAGATATTTTATATTTGTAAATTTACCAAAAGGTACCCATTCAATAATTTTTCTATATCTCTCCGCATAAATCTGAGTTTGTTGAATAAATTTATCGATGTCATGATTGCCACTTGTCCAGTTATGAAAATCGTCTTTAAACCTAAAATATTGAAAATAATAAATAAAACACATTAAGAGCTGCTGTTTAGAAATCACTGATATGTTGTCTATCATGTCCTATAAAAATTTTGGTGTGATTTTTGATTTTTTAAAACAATGGTGCCTTTTAAGATTTCACATACATGAAGACCAATTTTAAATATCGTATATTACCGAAAATAAGCAACCAAAATGCTGCAAAAAAAGATACTTTTTTTTATGCCAAAGTGAAGAGGTTGTTTATATTCGAGTCTTATATTATTAGTAAAATATAATACTATCTGCCAAATTTTTGTTTTTCAGAGTCGGGGATGCTTATTTTCGGTAATATACAGTAATCTTTTTTATAAGGATGAGTTAATGCATAAATAATATCGAGAATGCTGAAATTTGAGCTTATTTTAATATGAATTTTAAATTTTTTGGGGGGATACATAGTTTTTTAGAGTTGGGTTAGGATATAGGGTTAGAGTTTATAATAAAAAGAGCATGCCGTATGCGGATTTTAGCAGAGTTGATAATTTCCAAATTTCAGCATTATTTTTTTTATTATTATAAATTCTGTAATAATTATAAAACTTACTTACTATCGTGGTG